TCAACGGTTAGCTTTTATAGATTGAGATTTATTTTCTTTTAGTGCCGGCTCTATTGTGGCTGATATGCCAAGTTTAGAATGACAATCTCGGTATCAGTTATTGTAAATCTTAGTTGTTGGTACAATTTGAGCAGACGTGATCCTTATTCTCCAATAAGAGGCTACCTTGACCCTTTTCGCTTTATAATGTTCTGTCTTGTGCCAGTTGCACACACACGCGTTCGTTTATATCTGCTTACCACAGGTCTCGTTTACAGACTCCTCTCTAATTTAGCAGGGGTCATACTTGGTGTCCAGTACCGTTGTTAAAATCTCTGGGTTTACATTCCATGTGTTCTAAAGGACTTGCCTTACTTCAAGATGTCTTACTTGGAGACACGGTATTCCTATATGACATCAATGACACGTCGCTGACAGCGCATTTAAAATGTGTTAAGTTTTATTCCTGGTGTGCGTAAGTTGTCTAACAGTCGCTTCCTTAGAGTGCTCACCACGCAGGCATTGCAGACCAGCATCTTGGTGTTCCTGGTCAGCTTTGAATTCTTCCAAAGGAATTTGGAGAGTTTGGCTCTTGAAGCTATTTCCCCGAGCAATCTCTTTGACATCTCTTGGTAATGAAGATGTTGTTGCTACGGGATATTGTTTATAAGATGCTGTCGTTTGTACAAAATACCTCTATTTATTTCAATACATCATCCTTTAACCCCGAGGGTCATTGGGACAGCACAGTTTATTTTCCCATTCATATCTTCAGCTGCTCTGGGTAGTTTGCAACTAGTAGCTTAGTCCATTCACGTTTACAGCTACTGTCACTGTGCCGCGTTTTATAGTTCTGGATAGGCAATGCGGTGGTCATTTATTTTACCAAATTCAACTAACATTTTTGACATTATCCTTATTAGTGAACCCGAGGAGAAAAAGTTGGATATAAGGGGACATAAAAAAGAAGAAGCAATGGATATGTTTCAAGCATTTCTTGCAAATCAATTAGAAAGTGAGTATTTAATTTAGTGATTATATAACAGTGTATGCAATGAAGCTGGTCTCAGTCATAACTCCGTATAGTTGTTTTCAAAACTTGAATGGGTTAAGAACAACAAAAAGTAACCAATCTTACATAATTTGTTGATAATGTTTGTAAATTGTATTCTTTAATGGTTAATGTATAATTACCATTAAGTCTGGTTTTTTTTGTAAATTTTTAAATTAAAATGCATCGGAAAAATAAGAAATAAATGCGGTAATAGATTAGTCAGAACGATAATTGCTTTATAAAAAAGAAGTATTAAGTATTAATTTGAATGTATTCTTCTGATTAAAGTATATATGTCTACGGGCAACAAGCGAGACCGGTATGTCTACGTTGTGCCTGGTTTTCATGCCAGCAACCCCGACATAGGCCCTGTACTGAAACCTGCAGTACAAGACTACCTGGATGAAAATGGCTTTAAGTACAGGTATATATTTATTTGCCCCAGATCACATAGAAATAGAAAAGTAGGCCCTACAGTTTGAAATCTCTGGTAGGGTTAATGGTGCTGTCGGCAGTACATAGCTTGTTAGTTCTACAGGATGTCTTACTGGCCACTGTTTCTTCCAGAATTATTTCTCCACAGGTGGGTACTTGCATTTTTCAAGGGGGGGGGGGGGGTAGGGACTAAAATTTCCTGGGGGGGGGGGGGGGAGGGGCGGCGGACGCTGCTAAAAGTATATATTCTCTATATAAATTCCATTTTGCTACTGCACCTACTAACGTGTGACAGTATTGATATTTTGTATAACGATACCCTATATTAATTATCGTGTATCCCGTATGTTTTTAGCTTGAGGATAATGATGGTGACTTCCCCCTGACGATTGTAGAACGTATTGGTAAATAGTATAGTATAAACGACTGATATTAAACTTTTCGTAAAGAACTGAAAATATTGGGAAAAATGATTATTTTATAATTAATGGGGTCGTAAATATGGTATTTTAAACATATTTTTTTTTTTTAAATTCTCATTTAAGGTATTATTTTCTTAATACGTAAATGGACAAAGTATCAGTAAAGTAGGGCAGAATGAAATCTAAATAAAACGAAATTTAAGTACATTTATAAAGAATGATGAACATTTTTTATTAATTCACATTTATTTTATAACACTAATACTTTACTTTCTTGCTAGTTGAGCAGAATTTTAAAAAGATAATTTATGCTTTTTGAACTTTCTATTTTTTTTAGACACAAGTGGTTTAATGGAGGGGGGCTTGTTATGATTGATCTAGAGGAGTCTGACGATCTAGCGGAACTAGAGGATGTGGAGGAAGTATACTGGGAGTAAAGAGTTATCAAGCAATGTGGAGGAAGTACGCCGTATAATTAGCAGTGAGAAGCTGGGTAGAGAGAAGATGATTAAAAAATAATCTACTTCATCAACACCGATCTCAATCATTCCCTGAGAAATCCTTTTGTTGACTTGTCATCAACATTTACACTCGTTTCTAGTATTAGCTTTAATAATAAGACGCACCTTATTTTTACGAAAGTCCACTAATTAATAATTATTTCTTGTAATTAATCTAAATTTAACATTACATTTCTATATACTCATTATAATTAAAGCATGCTTTTTTTAACCTTGACGTTCTTAGTACTGTAATTATTATTGGAAAAGGACTTGTTACTCATGTTTTACTGTTCAATATATACATTATGTACTTTAGAAGACAACATGGCACAGATTATTAGAGAAACTGTGTCTGTGAAAATAAAAAGAATATTATTGTTCAATACATACATCATGTTTTTTAGAATATAGCTATTTTACATTTAAGTAGACAAACTACACTGGACTATATTAGAATAAGCAAATTTCGTGATCCAATACCTATTTTAGTGAATATACCATTTTGAATTAAAAACATTTCTAATAATTTTACATTCATACTGCAGCTTCTACCTTCTACTCATGTATTAATCTAAATGGCTTGTCAAAGCAGGCCAAAAGTAATGTATTGATTTAGACATTATAAACACGTCTTTTTGGCGTATGGATCTAGCGAGCACAGTGCATGTTTTCATTAAATATTGGTGATATGTAACTGAAGCTAACACTGTTTAAGTTGTACTACATAAAATTCCGTTATGATTAGTAGTTTGGCATAGTGTGGGATTTTCATAAATTTGAAATATATTGTGTCTGGTTTTTAGTGTTCTGGTAGATTTAAAAATTTCAAAGATGAAGATTAAATTAATAATTAAAAACAATTTAAAATATATTATGTAAAATTATTATAAGTAATTTTGTGGTTAAAAACATGTTCAGATGCAAAATAATATATATTATTTAAATTGCAAAACTCCTTAAACATTAAGTATTTTAGCTAACTGAAATTTTAATGATATCTTCCTATGCTATACATCATTAAATTTTATGTTTAATAGCAACATGAATGGAATGCATGTTCCTATATAAAGTCGACGCTTTACGAATAAACTTATTCATAAATAAGCGTAAACAAAACGCGTATGAAAATAAAATTATGCAATACGGTTAAAATGAATTTAATTAATATGATTATGTTGTATGCTGTTCTCTCCTTTTATTCTATTTTGAAATGCAGTTCGATAGATTATAGCAATACACTTTTAAAAGTGATATTACTTGTTTCTGTTTGAATTTTTATTGTGGAACAATTTTGTACATTGTAAAGTAACTTGCATAAATTAATAAAGTTAGGCAGCTTTTGTTTTGCTATGACGCTGGTAAACTAAATTCGTATATTTTAATTTCAAAGATACAGCTAGAAACGGATGAGACTTACAGCTATTGATTTTGAAATGTGATCAATCTTTCCATGAACGTTTTAGCCAATGCGATATATCGATTGCTCTGATACTATCGATTTTATCGACTTTCATAGTCTGGCCTTGACTAGAGTGCGCTGTTAATTACTTTGATTTTTAAAAAAATGTAAGCACAGCTAATGGTGTAACCGTATGGTGTTGTTAACCACATCATGGTGTCGAGTTAAGCTTCAAGGATGCTGAAGTGGGCAGGGGTATATAGAGTCACTCTGAGATAAAGATTACAAAAAATAGAGGAAGCGTTTATAGTAGTTTATTCCAATTCATTTAAATAAAACGCTTTACTCCAGATATTTTGTGCGCAATTACTTCAAATGCTTATTTCAGCGGTAATCAAATGGAAACAGACACGCTATAAAAAGTAATACTCTACCTACACTACGACAATTTTTATATGGAAAAACGTTTCGTTGATTTTCACTGCAAAAAATCACCACTAAATAAACTTTTATTATGAAAGTATGTTTCCTCTTAAACTCTAACAATTTGAATCAACAGATAAAATAATTTTCATTTCTGCGTATTTTACCGAATGTAAGTTATGCAGGACATGTGCTGAAATAGCCAATAAATCAATACAAATCGATTGAGCCTCAACATATATCGATATCTACTGGAAAGTAATATGTTTTGTATAGTCCAAACAAAAATGTTGTAAATACTACAGAATAACCATCTAATCAATTCTTAATATGGGGCTGCTAACGTAAAATGATATACAAAAGATACATCAACAAAATGTTTGTAAATACTACTGAATGTCGACCTAGTTCTTACAATTGTGACTGTTTAAGTAATGTGTTTTACAAAAGACATGTCGAAATGAGGCCATAGTTTAACACACAAAACATAGCTGTGACTATATCACAGCATTGCTTCAAGCCTTAGAGTATCTTGCTATGCATGTAATCGCAGAAATACAGAGAATTACAGAGGTATACAGTTTAATATGCTTAAACATCAATATAACTTAAAGATCTAAACATGCTTATTGAAGAATATTACATGGAAAATGCCAATGCTTAAAATCAACCAATGGCTAATTTAAAGAGTAAAAGAGTTTCTAAACACACGTTGCATGGAAGTAAGCACCATTACCGTTAATCAAGGCGTCTGGTTTGCAAAAATCAATAGGCTATACTAGGTGGAACACTGGAACATAACACTAGAATTGGTTGAGTGTTGAAAAGACGAACACTGTATTTCAATGGTTATTGCCGTTAAATATATGCAACGTGAAACTTGATATTTACAAAATGTTGAACTGGATTCTTAATTTGTGTAATTGGGTAAGTTAATTTATTCTTGTTGTTTAATGGCACTTAATTAATAAAAGAAGTAATCTAATTCAATAAACTGCTTATCTGGATATTAATATAGAAGTGCTAATTTAACTCAAAATAGTTTGATTAAAGATGACGTTTTGCAAGTTGCTGACTTAGTGAACGCGTCGCTCGGTTTTGTTTTAGGGAGGGGTCTTCATGTATGTATATATATATATATATATATATATATATATATATATATATATATATATATATATATATGTATATATATATATATATATATATATATATATATATATATATATATAACCATAATTGTTTAGATGTGGTATGCATAGTTTTTGGGCTGTTTTTGGCGTTTCGTACAGCTATTATATAAATGTGACTGGCGATATTGTCTTCCTACCCATCGTGACGTCAAGTTTAAACGCCCTGTTCTTACTTATTTTAATCTTTATCATCCAGGTGTACTCGGACGACAAGGAATGTGTTGATATTATCGTCTGCTATATTGTAGCTCTCATTTTAGTGGTAAATTTTACTTTTGGAATATTTAATGTTTTGGTGGTGATTTGTTTATTTTACAATAGAGTTTGAAAATGTAATTGCAAATTTCGTAGTTGAAATCAAAGCTAGAAATACGTATTAAGAAACTGTGTTTTCAATTTTGTAATTCGTATTTCTTCTATTTTCTTCTATTATTATTACAAAGTATAATTAAGCTGATAGTTTTATATTTGTCAGACTCCTACTATTCTGACATGTACATCTAAACCTCTCAGATTTTCAGTCGATTTATCAAACAAGTTATTCAAACATCTGTACAAAAACAAGTCGTGTTTGTACGAACGCTTTACCGTCTGCACTTTAACAGGCGAGTTAGACTGGTGCCTGCGACAAGTTCCATACGTTCTGCAGCCGGAACTAATCAAGTAGTAAACACTGCCTTTATCAGTCAAGCGGAAAATAACCAGTCAAAACCATCACTCGGGCAACCAGATAATAAAAAAATAAAAATAAACGCAACGTCTACCCGAATACAAAATATAAACAGCCACATTTTACCAACACCAGTCAAATTCGAAAATACACAGGACAAAGTTAAACAAACATACACCCCATCAGAAAATAAACAGGGCAACATTAGCCCAGCACCTAGCCAAACAGTAAATAAACAGGGCAACATTAGCTCAGCATCTAACCAGTCAAAAATTATCCATGGCAATGTTAGAAAAACAGACACCCCATCAGAAAATAAACAGGGCAACATTACACCAAATACACAATCAGAAAGAAAAAAGAGCAACATGCCTGGAGGAAATCGAAAGCTTGAAAATACGAAAGAAACATCAACATCTCCTGGAGACAACATTAGTCAAAAACATTCCAGCTTAGTCGTCAATGAAACAGACAAAGATAGCCCTAACTTGAAATCAGACACGTCAGTCGACACAATGATTCCCCATACCCAAGTCAACATAGTCATACAGAGTACGCCTGACTTAACCAATAACGTTCAAATCACCCCAGGCGATCCACTGGCTTCACTTTTAGATAGTGTTGGCTTGAAACTAGCACAAGCCGAGAACGATATATCGGAAAATGTAAGGTATTAAACTAAAAAACTTTCTTCATTTAGGTTTTATTATTCTTAGAAGGTTTTGTTAATACCCACTATTGAACTTTGAAAGACCATATAATTCGAAAATGTATATGTGTAGCTGTCAAGCCACAATTATTTGGACGATATTTCCATTTTTTGATCGATCAAATACATACAAGTTAGAAGTAACACTTTATTAAATGGAATATGTATTCTGTTTTCAGATATTTTGCATTATAACTGACCATTTAGCTAACTCAGTAATGTCAAATCGCACTTAATTATTTTTAACTGTTCATCCACTAATAACAATAATAATGACTAAATCAGCTCCAGGGAACAAAAGGACAAAACAAATGAAAATGAAACACACGAGGAACAAGAGACTTCATATAGTTATGGAAATGAACAAAGCAACGAGCATGAGCACATAAGGTAAACCGAGTTTCTCATCTTCTGACATCAAAATACTATCGTTCGTTGTGTAGCGCGTCAGACTTTGCCAAATAACGTAAACTACTTTTAAACAAAACGGAAATAATTATAAACTCCGTTTTTTTATCGTAATCTTTGAAGTGTTCTTTATTTAATAACGGATTTTAGTAGCTAGTTGAAATAAAGAAAAAGTGTTTACATTGTTTCCAGCGAGTTTCCTGATTGCAAAATAAATCTTCTAAAATTTACACATGACTATGCTATGTTTTATCTGTACAAGTTTCTCAACTACAGATATGAAGGTAAGTTCAATCAATTTTTTTTTTGCGAAATAATATTGTTGTAAAAGAAAATTTCTCCAGCGTAAGCAAAAGTTTATAAAATCTATATACATTTTTTAAACTGAATTATATAATATATAAAGGCGTAATGGTATGGTTGCTAAAAACAATTAGGGCGGTAAGGCGTAGATTCTAGATTTTGTGTAATTATAAGCTTTAATAAAGAATGACAATATTGCACTCTATATTTTAACAGTTACATCTTGTATTCCAATTTTTTTTCAAAAGGCCTACTTGATATAAATTAAATTGTTTCAAGATGTAATAGCGTTGACTATATTTTTTCAGCGTTTGTGCAAAGTGGTCGTAATGAGATATTTCGATATGTCTACATCACTACTGGCTGGATGATGGGCTATACTAGCATCAGGTCTAAAGCTGACAGATACCTAAAACATGCAGGATATAAAAACAGGTAGGAAACATAAAATTGTATATATAGGCCTATCTTTATTTTTTTTAAAGTATATAATCATCTATATTCTTTATTTATTTTGATATAGAAATTACTGGGATTTTTTCTAAATTTTGATGATTTTGACGTGCATAATCGAATACCTTTTTTTTTGGTAAGACATTGCACTTAAACTCATATATATATATATATATATACATATATATATATATATATATATATATATATATATATATATATATATATATATATATATATATATATATATATAATATATATATGTATATATATATATATATATATATATATATATATATATATATATATATATATATATATATATATATATATATATATATATATATATATAACTTCTGGCAATTTAATCGCAAGAACTGCACTCTTAACTTTCTTGTCACTGGTAGAATCCTTATATTTCAGCATGATGTGGATGGTTAAAAAGGTGCGCGTAGACCTGAGTACAAAAGGTGAGGTAGAAGAAGATGTTTTCACTGACAGCGATGATGAGACAACACACCAAAGTGGTCAAAACATGCGCACTGTGAGGGCACCGAAACGGTTGGTGCTATTACGTAATAATTGAAGTTATTTTAATAAAAAATTAGCAAAACTTATCAACAATATATAAATTTAATAAAAACCTATGTTATAAAGTTCAAAGCTGTGTTTGTACTGTTGATTTTTAAACAAATTTTCTCGTAAGGTTTAAAATTAATTTTAAAAAAAATAATTTTTCCCAGTATTTGTAAAACAATAGACTTACGGGGTAAGAATTTGGAAGAAGTGGAAAAGATTTTAAAGCAATGTGTCTCTAATTTTAAGCATGGTAAGTTTTTTTTTAGTTCTTTCGATCTTTTAAAAGAATAAATTTTAATCCCGTACACAATAGCTTCTATAAATACTAATAACTGTATTAACTGTTCTTTTAAAAAAATCAAAATCTGTATGAAAATTTATAAAAAAAACTAGCAAGAAAATATTTCAAATTTGTCAACTATTTAAATTACGAACCGTACTGCAACCTAAACAAATTAAAAATTGTGTAAAATAGCTTGCCAATGAACTAGTCAATGAACATTCAGAATCACATAGTTTAATAGTTTCTTAATACTTATCGACAGGCAACAGCAATGCAAAAGATTCAACTAACTTAGTTCTTCATATTAACATTATTATTGATAATAACGATGAAGAAAATCTCAAACACTTGATAGAGAGCTACTTAAGAAAGTCTGGTGATTCGTTTAGGTAAACATTGGTATTAAAATATTTCGCATTTATCAGTAAAATGACAGTGTATGTTACACCGTTTTAATGTCAGTAACGTGTTTCTTGTATTTTAAAATTTAAAACAAAACTAAATGTTTTTTTTTTTTAAATTTAACTTGCTCAGTTACAAACTCCTTAAAGTAAGCATAAGTGGAAAACAAGATCCGGGGGAAAAGCCAGACTTAACTTCAGGTCAAGACAAATTCAAGCCGACTCGCTCTCATGGTGGTTGGCCGAAAAAGGGAGAATATTTTAAGTATATTTACGTTTCTGTTACATAATAGCTACAGCTAAATGTGCAAAGGAGTATACCTTTTTTCGCATTATTTATTGTTAGGTTTAATTATTGTTGTTTTAATTTGTTTTGAAATAATTATTTTTTTAGCTGTGCTACTATGTCTAGCAAATTATATTTGCTACTGTATAACTTAATTGTTTTGTTTTTTTCAAATTGTAAAACAATTTGCATTGTCCAGCTATAAAAATAAAGAAATAATGCGATAATGTTTATGAAAAGGGAACCGGAGGATAAATCACTGGACGTTAGAAGATCACCATTTGATGAAGCTATGAATAGAGTTGTACATTTTACAGACCGTATGTCAAAGTGTAAGTCTACCTGGATTATTTCTGGAGGCTCCACGTGTTGTAATTGTCTGAAAAAACTGTATATCCTAGATGACTAGAGGCAAGTTAATTTATTCCATTAACCATCCTTCCCGCTCCCAACGCCCCTGAAATCATATTAAATGCAGCTAGTTGAAACATAGAAAAGTATAAAAAAAATGCGGTGACCCGTTTCCTAATCAGTGCAACAATGTGGTGTAAGCAGAAAATTGTTTGGGGATATTAGAACACAATTATATGGACTCTCCAAATAAGCTTGTTAAATTGAAGCAATTGACGATGACATGCTTGTTTCGATTACAGGACATAGCGTCTGCTTTATATATATATATATATATATATATATATATATATATATATATATATATATATATATATATATATATATATATATATATATATATATATATATATATATATATATATATATATATTAAATTACTAATTTCTTGAGAAATAAGGTCACGCGTTTAGAAATATACAATAGGTAAAATATTTCTTAGCCCCTATTCTGAAACCACAGCATCGTGCGTCACTAGTGCGCTGGTAAATATATATATATATATATATATATATATATATATATGTGTGTGTGTGTGTGTGTGTGTGTGTATGTGTAAATATATATATATATATATATATATATATATATATATATATATATATATATATATATATATATATATATATATATATATATATATATATATGTTCAGAAACACTTGTTTTTGACATATTCGTTACCAGCGTATCAATGTAATACCCTTCACTGTTAAAAATGATCCCCACAAAAATCTTACACCGGTCTAAATGTGTAGTAAAAGCTAAAAGTTTAGATGCAAATTTTATTTTACGCTACTACTTAGTTTTTAATAAAAATACTTAATTAAGGTTGGGGTTCATTTAAAAGAAATTATATTTTTGTCTACAGTGTACTGGCGAACAGAGAAAGAAAAAGACAGGTTTATCTACATAATTACTGGTTATGGGAAACATAATAATAGAATAAAAGGTGGCATTGCTCACTATTTCAAAGTTAATGCTTTTGGAAACAGGTAAACTTTATCATACACTTGTACACATTTTTAAAGAAAAATATGCTCAGTTTAAAAAAAAAAGAAAATGAAAAATAAAGAAATATTTTTTCTTTCATAAAAGATTTGTCCGTTCAAGAGATATTTTATAAATTTTAGCGATTTAAGCTTATAAAACAGAAAGTAAATTAGTTTTTTTCTTTTATCTTTTATTGCGTTTAAAAGCATATTGTGGTACAAGTCTTTATACTTGTTTTGTTTATCTTCAGATACTGTCATATATATGTGTATATATATATATATATATATATATATATATATATATATATATATATTTATATATATATATATATATATATATATATATATATATATATATATATATATATACACTGTTCGTAAATGTATCGTGTATATACATACAGTTTAAATATAAATAAATTGTTTGGCATGCGCCTGCAGATACGTATGGATAAATGTTGGACTTGTCATGCTTGATTTGAAAGATGACATAGGCAGCAATAAAGATGATTCTGATAACCTGAAGACGCGCCACTTTGTTTTCAAAGAAAGGTACGTTTTTTTAAATTATTAAACTCTGTTTTTTATCGAAATGGGAATTATACTAAATTCTTGTCTCATAAATATGTTTATTAAATGAACACTGTTATCATTACAATAATTGACTATCAATATTACTACAGCACACATTTTTTTCGACATAATACATATTTTTTAGAATTTCCAAAAGTTCGTTTTGTGTTTTGTTTTTAGTGAAAGAAAGGTGGTAACCACTGATGACAGGTCTGACAAAGTACCTTATTGCATGTTAATAATGTTGTTACTGCAATTGTTATTGCTACTGCATATAATCGGAGTAAATTATTTGAAGAAAAATCATTTGTTTATAGAAGATGTGTAATGTAATCATATATATATATATATATATATATATATATATATATATATATATATATATATATATATATATATATATATATATATATATATATATATATATATATATATATATATATATATATATAATATGTGTGTGTGTGTATAATTATATAATTTCAACTTACAGCAATTAATTAAAAATCATACAAGAAATGCAGTAAATGTTGTCACTCTTCTTATGTCATTTATGCTCTTAATATAATCCTCGTTGAATGTTGCTCTAATTTTTCTCTACCCACACCCTATCACATTGGCAGTGAAAGCAAGGGGAGAACAGTCGACATAAGAGGTAAAACACGGCCTGAAGCGATGGATATTTTCAGAACATTTCTTGATTCGCATCTTGAGAGTAAGCACTAATGCCTTGATATTGTAGTTGTAAATATAATTGTATATGATATTTCATTATTGAGCCAATAAGCATAAAATAGTACACATGCTAAGTGCAAATTCTGAATTTTTTGTCCTCTCTTCGTAATTTTCGTATGTTATTTATTTATTTATTTTCGTTTAGGTTTGTATGTAACGATGCCTATAAACTTTCAATAGCGTTGCTTCCTTTGATACCTATTTATAGCTTCTTGTTTTGCAAACGTGATACATTTTCATGGGAGATTTTTTTCTGTCATTAAATATAGAGTTGAGGTGATTACATCTACTGTTAAAGCGGCCATTAATGAAACCTTAAACAGTTACTTTTTTATGATTTTCGGTACAATAAATTTGTTTTAAAATGATGCATAAAAATGTATGTGATTAAATGTAATTCATCACGCATTTGATGATTAACACATAGCAAAAAAAGGGTTTAATTTTTTTTTTTACATAACTATTTATCTTCAAATTTTGCTCATGAAAAATACCACTGAAGTTGTATTTTTAAAATACAGTCTTTTATCTTTAATGGACCCACACGTTTCTAATCTCCCCTCACGTGCACAGTTCCGAACCCTACCACCGACTAACAAACCAAATCCTCATACAGACGTGAACTTAGATTGTAAACATTCCGTTAAAATGGATCGATATTTTAACGTTTGGTTTAGTTGATCTAAAGTAGTTACACGATACAATCTTGTGATTTAATTTACTTTCACTAAAGAAACCTACACTAAAATAAATGTAATTTTCTGATACATTTGTTAGCCTTTAATTATGTCGATTTTGTCGTTAAACAGCTTATCGTAATGCTGACATAAAGAATAAGAAAGCGAACAGGTATGTTTATGTTATCTCAGGATACAAAGCCAGCAACCCTGATATAGGCCCAGTTCTAAAACCGGCAGTTCAAGACTATCTGGATACAAATGGATACAAGTCCAGGTAATATAGCGTAATTCAATAATGATTCCAATATAATAAGAACGATAATAACAATATGTAGATCCTATATGGTACTATTGTACTCGATAACATGCATATATACATAACTATGAAACGATAAAAGTTAATTTAATGTATTACGCAATTTATGTATAATTGTTTTAGCTAATTTTTTTAGTTTTTTTTTTACCTATCTTATGTACTGAAATAAATTACTACATTGAAAAGCTATATAAAACTAAATCTTGTAAAATAAGCCTACAAGTTGGCATAAAAAGGAGATTGATTAAAATAATGCAAAAGATAATAAATGTTGACAATATCATATTTTAGAGAAAATTGTAGGTATTGCACTAAATATTTTCGTAAGTAATTGTTTTGTAACAACACAAATTGAGAGTTAAAACATAATGATCTAACTTTGTCTTCTCCAGACACAAGTGGTTCAATAGCGGTGGACTTGTTATGATAGACTTGGAGGAGGATGATGATGTGGATGATGTTACTAGTGAGGATGATGATGATGATGATGATGTTTCCAGTGAGGAGAATGGTGATGTTACTAGTGATGATGATGTTTCTAGTGAGAAGGATGATGACTTTTGAGAGAAGCGTCACAAATCCAGATATCTGATGATAATAGTAGTGAGGACAGTCTGGACGATATATTAGATGATAGAAAATATTATTAAAGCGACAGTAGTATTATTATCGCCGGCATGTTAAGGATCATCTATTAAAAAAAACACGACATTAATCATTATATATGGTGTAGGATCAATTAGTCAACAAAATTCAGAATATACTTTTGGATTAGCTAGAGAAAGTAAATAATAATTGCAAAACCTGCTAAGTTATTTATGAATGATTTTAAGGAAATCGACTTAAAAATGTTTTGTTGTTAACTAACCTTATGATTTTTTATATTTTACTGTTAAGAAATTTATTTTATATTATACCTTTTAGAACACAAATATGTACATTGCTTTAACTGCTACTTAATTAAGAAGACTATAATAATAACCATTTTTTTTTCTTTAAAAAGTGGACTTGGCAGGTTTTGAAAAAGTACTCAGCATATGTTGTTTATAAATACTAATTAGTCGATACTTGCAATGTAAACAACGTATTAAAATTGTGTATACTCATTAACTAGCGTTACAAATGTTTGCTAGTGTTAAGAGTTTGTTATACAGTGTATTTTTTTAAAACAGCTATACAAATCCATTGTATGGTTTACATGTCCACCTGAAGAGATGATAGTATTGATAGTTACTTTTCCCCATTAGAAAAAATAAGTATATATTATTGCTACTATAGTTTAAATACACGTTCTTTAAATGGGAAAAACAGTTTCGATGCATATATATGACTAGCTGCATCCCGTGCTCCGCCACGGTAAATCTTTTTTAAATGTACCAACTTGGGAACAGAACAAAACTAAACACAACACAAACGAACGCAAAAAAAAACAACGAAAAAACAAACACAACACTCATAACATAAACACAATTTAAATGCAATCATAAAGGCATATTGCTCACAGTCTAGCCCGTAGCGCCAAATCGCGCCCTTTCCGGTGATTTGCACCCCCTCAAACTTTCGATTTGCACCCCTTCCCCCCCCCCCCGCCCTAAAACTTTCGATTTCCACCACACCCCCCCCCCTCGCAAATTTTTTCCAACCCACTTTGGCGCACCCGGGGACATATGCCCCCCCCCCTCGCTACGCCTCTCCTATAAAACCCGAAAGATAGAATAATAATTAGAAAACAGTATAAATAATAGGCAGTATTTAAAATATCCGTGTTTTACCTACAATATTTCACTTTATCCATTCACGCATTTTTTTTCCCAGTACTTTAAATTTTAAAAATTTACAATTGAGTTTCATAACTAAAACCATTGCGCACCTAATGAACGTGATGACGCGCCTATAATAGTACTGAATAGTTGTTTAAAAATTATAAGTAATAAACAGTAGGGCCTACATTCAGTGAATAAAATAAATAAAAGATTGCCTTTTATCAATCCATGCTAATTATAATTTTCTAACAATAATTTCCTCTTACACATCCGAATAATTTGCATTCACATTTTGCTAATTATATTATTGCAACACTAATTCCTTCTATGACGAACGTATATTTGCATTCACATTTTTTATTAGCGTGAGTTTAATGTATTTTTAAATTACCTCCTTTGTCAAAATTAGAAAAGAGTTAAATTAATTTGATTTTTCTACCCTGCTGTTATTATGTTATTAAAATGTATCCACTTTTTCTGGGAGCCTAAACGAAAATGATATTTGACATTAATCTTTTTAATACGTTTTAGCAGTTTGCGTGTATTTAATATTTTCTTGACGTTATGCGAAAGAGTAAAAACCGTGGCAATTATAAAATAGCTCTATGCCGCTATATAAACAAACCCTACTCTATTACTTATAATAAGACACTGCGGTGCACTGAAAAGCACAGCATGGTGCGAATGTTTACTTTTATAGTCCCAAAATCTATAGCGATGACGGACGGACGGAAGGACGGAAGGAAAGACAGACACAGCCCGCTTATATTATAGACTAGCTGCATCCCGTGCTCCGCCACGGTAAATCTTTTTAAAATATACCAACTTTGGAACAGAACAAAACAAACAAAAACACAACACAAACACAAACAAAACACAACCACAACCACAACACAACCACAAAACAACCACAACACAACCACAACCACAACACAACCACAAAACAACCACAACACAACCACAAAACAACCACAACACAACCACAACACAACCACAACCACAACACACGGTAAATCTTTTTTTAAGTGTACCAAGTTGGGAACAGAACAAAACTAAATACAACACAAACGAACGCAAAGAAAAAACAAAAACGAAAAAACAAACACAACACTCAACATAAACTCAATTTAAATGTAATCATAAAGGCATATTGCTCACAGTCTATCCCGTAGCGCCAAATCGCGCCCTCTCCGAGGCCGGCGGAAAATTTCGATTTACACCCTCCCACCTCCCTCAAACTTTCGATTTCCACCCTCCCTCCCCCCCCCCTCTTGCTACGCATCTGTTATAAAACCCCTAGCTTTTCCGCAAATAAATTAAAGGCAGTATTTAGAATATCCGTGTTTTACCGACCATATTGCACTTTATAAATTTATGCATTTTTTTCAGTACTTTTAAAAATTTACAATAAAGTTTCATGACTAAAACCATTGCGCACCTAATGAACGTGATGACTTAATATAGTAATGGAGAATAGTTGATTAAAAATTATAATTAGTAAACAGTACATTCAGTGAATAAAATAAATAAAATATAGCTTTTTATCAATCAATGCTAATAATAATATTCCAACAATAATCTACTCTTACACGTCTGCATAATTTGCATTCACATTTTGCTAATTATATTATTCCAACAATTATTCCGTCTTGCAGATTTTGCATTCACATTTTTAGCGTGAGTTCAATTTATCTTTGAATTACCTCCATTGGCAAAATTACTAAGCAGTTTAATTAGATTTTTCTACCGTACCGTTATTATGTTATTAATATGTATCCACTCTTTCTGGGAATATTAACGAAAACGATATTTGACATTGATCCTTTTAATATGTTTTAGCAATGTGCGTGTATTTAATATTCTCTTTACGTTATGCAAAATTGTACAAACAGTGGAAACTATAAAATAGCTCTATGCCGTTATATAAACAAACCCTACTCAATTACTTATAATAAGACACTGCGGTGCACTGAAAAGCACAGCATGGTGCGTAGCTTACTTTTATAGTCCCACAATCTATAGCGATGACGGACGGAAGGAAGGACACGCTCAGCCCGATTATGTTATAGACTAGCTGCATCCCGTGCTCCGCCACGGTAAATCTTTTTTAAATGTACCAACTTGGGAACAGAACAAAACTAAACACAACACAAACGAACGCAAAAAAAAAAAAACAAAAAAAAAAAACGAAAAAACAAACACAACACTCATAACATAGACACAATTTAAATGCAATCATACAGGCATATTGCTCACAGTCTAGCCCGTAGCGCCAAATCGCGCCCTTTCCGGTGATTTGCACCCCCTCAAACTTTCGATTTGCACCCCTTCCCTCCCCCCCCTCCCTAAAACTTTCGATTTCCACCACCCCCCCCCCCTCGCACATTTTTTCCAACCCACTTTGGCGCCCCCTAAGGTCGGCATCCGGGGACATATGCCCCCCCCCCCCTCGCTACGCCTCTCCTATAAAACCCGAAAGATAGAATAATAATTAGAAAACAGTATAAATAATAGGCAGTATTTAAAATATCCGTGTTTTACCTACAATATTTCACTTTATCCATTCACGCATTTTTTTTCCAGTACTTTAAATTTTAAAAATTTACAATTGAGTTTCATAACTAAAACCATTGCGCACCTAATGAACGTGATGACGCGCCTATAATAGTGCTGAATAGTTGATTAAAAATTATAAGTAATAAACAGTAGGGCCTACATTCAGTGAATAAAATAAATAAAAGATTGCCTTTTATCAATCCATGCTAATTATAATTTTCTAACAATCCGCATCCGCACAATTTGCATTCACATTTTGCTGATTATATTATTGCAACACTAATTCCTTCTAGGAGGTAAGTAGATTTGCATTCACATTTTTTTTATTAGCGTGAGTTTAATTTATTTTTAAATTACCTCCCTTGTCAAAATTAGAAAAAAGAGTTAAATTAATTTGATTTTTCTACCCGACTGTTATTACGTTATTAAAATGTTTACATCTTTTCAAGGCATAAATAAGAAAATAATATTTGACATTGATCCTTTTAATATGTTTTAGCAGTGTGCGTGTATTTAATATTCTCTTTACGTTATGCAACATTGTACAAACAGTGGAAATTATAAAATAGCTCTATGCCGCTATATAAACAAACCCTACTCTAATACTTATAATAAGACACTGCGGTGCACTGAACAGCACAGCATGGTGCGTAGTTTACTTTTATAGTCCCAAAATCTATAGCGATGACGGACGGACGGACGGACGGAAGGAAGGACAAGCACAGCCCGCTTATATTATAGATTATACAAATATTTGTATGTAACAGAGAACATGTTAGTTTTAGAATGTGTGTTGCGTTTGTGTTCATTTCTGTATGTCTTGTTCGATAACTGCACTATAGTATTCAGGTCGCACCATCTATTGTTTATTTACGTTTAAAATGGATACATTTCAATGTTAAAAATAAATTATTAAAACTATCATAAAAACGTTTTAATAACAAGCATTTATGTAGCAATGCACTAAAATGTAAAAAAAAAAATTATACACTACTATTTAATTAACTATAAAGAAAAGCAAGGGTCGCTTAAGTATCTATTGGATACCTTGACTAATATTTATATACCGTTGGGTATAGAAGCTGTACCATTGGCTACAGAACCTGTACCATTGGCTATAGAAGCTGTATCATTACATATAGAAGCTGTACCATTGGCTATAGAAGCTGTACCATTGGCTATAGAAGCTGTACCATTGGCTATAGAAGCTGTACCATTGGCTATAGAAGCTGTACCATTGGCTATAGAAGCTGTACCATTGGCTATAGAAGCTGTACCATTGGCTACAGAAGCTGTACCATTGGCTACAGAAGCTGCACCATTGGCTATAGAAGCTGTACCGTTGGCTATAGAAGCTGTACCATTGGCTATAGAAGCTGTACCATTGGCTATAGAAGCTGTACCATTGGCTATAGAAGCTGTATCATTGGCTATAGAAGCTGTATCATTGGCTATAGAAGCTGTATCATTACATATAGAAGCTGTACCATTGGCTATATAAGCTGTATCATTGGCTATAGAAGCTGTATCATTACATATAGAAGCTGTACCATTGGCTATAGAAGCTGTACCATTGGCTATAGAAGATGTACCATTGGCTATAGAAGATGTACCATTACATATAGAAGCTGTACCATTGGCTATAGAAGCTGTACCATTGGCTATAGAAGCTGTACCATTGGCTATAGAAGCTGTACCATTGGCTATAGAAGCTGTATCATTACATATAGAAGCTGTATCATTACATATAGAAGCTGTACCATTGGCTATAGAAGATGTACCATTGGCTATAGAAGCTGTACCATTAGCTATAGAAGCTGTACCATTGGCTATAGAAGCTGTACCATTGGCTATAGAAGCTGTACCATTGGCTATAGAAGCTGTACCATTGGCTATAGAACCTGTACCGTTGGCTATAGAAGCTGTACCATTGGCTATAGAAGCTGTACCATTGGCTATAGAAGCTGTATCATTGGCTATAGAAGCTGTACCATTGGCTATAGAAGCTGTATCATTACATATAGAAGCTGTACCATTGGCTATAGAAGCTGTACCATTGGCTATAGAAGATGTACCATTGGCTATAGAAGATGTACCATTGACTATAGAAGCTGTATCATTACATATAGAAGCTGTATCATTACATATAGAAGCTGTACCATTGGCTATATAAGCTGTATCATTGGCTATAGAAGCTGTATCATTACATATAGAAGCTGTACCATTGGCTATAGAAGCTGTACCATTGGCTATAGAAGATGTACCATTGGCTATAGAAGATGTACCATTACATATAGAAGCTGTACCATTGGCTATAGAAGCTGTACCATTGGCTATAGAAGCTGTACCATTGGCTATAGAAGATGTACCATTGGCTATAGAAGCTGTATCATTACATATAGAAGCTGTATCATTACATATAGAAGCTGTACCATTGGCTATAGAAGATGTACCATTGGCTATAGAAGCTGTACCATTAGCTATAGAAGCTGTACCATTGGCTATAGAAGCTGTACCATTGGCTATAGAAGCTGTACCATTGGCTATAGAAGCTGTACCATTGGCTATAGAACCTGTACCATTGGCTATAGAAGCTGTACCATTGGCTATAGAAGCTGTACCATTGGCTATAGAACCTGTACCGTTGGCTATAGAAGCTGTACCATTGGCTATAGAAGCTGTACCATTGGCTATAGAAGCTGTATCATTGGCTATAGAAGCTGTACCATTGGCTATAGAAGCTGTATCATTACATATAGAAGCTGTACCATTGGCTACAGAAGCTGTACCATTGGCTACAGAAGCTGCACCATTGGCTATAGAAGCTGTACCGTTGGCTATAGAAGCTGTACCATTGGCTATAGAAGCTGTACCATTGGCTATAGAAGCTGTACCATTGGCTATAGAAGCTGTATCATTGGCTATAGAAGCTGTATCATTACATATAGAAGCTGTACCATTGGCTATAGAAGCTGGACCATTGGCTATATAAGCTGTATCATTGGCTATAGAAGCTGTATCATTACATATAGAAGCTGTACCATTGGCTATAGAAGCTGTACCATTGGCTATAGAAGATGTACCATTGGCTATAGAAGATGTACCATTACATATAGAAGCTGTACCATTGGCTATAGAAGCTGTACCATTGGCTATAGAAGCTGTACCATTGGCTATAGAAGCTGTACCATTGGCTATAGAACCTGTACCGTTGGCTATAGAAGCTGTACCATTGGCTATAGAACCTGTACCGTTGGCTATAGAAGCTGTACCATTGGCTATAGAAGCTGTACCATTGGCTATAGAAGCTGTATCATTGGCTATAGAAGCTGTACCATTGGCTATAGAAGCTGTATCATTACATATAGAAGCTGTACCATTGGCTATAGAAGCTGTACCATTGGCTATATAAGCTGTACCATTGGCTATAGAAGCTGTACCATTGGCTATAGAAGCTGTATCATTACATATAGAAGCTGTATCATTACATATAGAAGCTGTACCATTGGCTATAGAAGATGTACCATTGGCTATAGAAGCTGTACCATTGGCTATAGAAGCTGTACCATTGGCTATAGAAGCTGTACCATTGGCTATAGAAGCTGTACCATTGGCTATAGAAGCTGTACCATTGGCTATAGAAGCTGTACCGTTGGCTATAGAAGCTGTACCATTGGCTATAGAAGCTGTACCATTGGCTATAGAAGCTGTATCATTGGCTATAGAAGCTGTACCATTGGCTATAGAAGCTGTACCATTGGCTATAGAAGCTTTACCATTGGCTTCAGAAGCTGTACCATTGGCTATAGAAGCTGTACCATTGGCTATAGAAGCTGTACCATTGGCTATAGAAGCTGTACCATTGGCTATAGAAGCTGTACCATTGGCTATAGAAGCTGTACCATTGGCTATAGAAGTTACATTATCTTCAATTGATACCACACCATCACCGACAGAAGATAGACCATCAGATGTAGAAGCTGACCCATCACACGATGCACTATCAGCCGCTGAAGCAATATCATCACCTAAAATGGCAATACCATACCCAACAGAAGATACACCATCACAAGTAGAGCCATCCTTAACAGATGATTCACTTTCAGTGGCTCAAGATAAGCCATCACCTATAGAACCTGTACCATCACCTATAGAAGCTGTACCATCACCTATAGAAGCTGTACCATCACCTATAGAAGCTGTACCATCACCTATAGAAGCTGTACCATCGCCTAAAGAAACTGTACCAACACCTATAGAAGCTGTACCATCACCTATAGAAGCTGTACCAGTGGCTATAGAAGCTGTACCATCACCCATAGAAGCTGTACCATCACCTATAGAAGCTGTACCATCACCTATAGAAGCTGTACCATCACCTATAGAAGCTGGACCATCACCTATAGAAGCTGTACCATCACCTATAGAAGCTGTACCATCACCTATAGAAGCTGTACCATCGCCTAAAGAAGCTGTACCATCACCTATAGAAGCTGTACCATCGCCTATAGAAGCTGTACCAGTGGCTATAGAAGCTGTACCATCACCTATAGAAGCTGTTCCATCACCTATAGAAGCTGTACCATCACCTATAGAAACTGTACCATCGCCTATAGAAGCTGTACCATCACCTATAGAAGCTGTTCCATCACCTATAGAAGCTGTACCATCACCTATAGAAGCTGTACCATCACCTATAGAAGCTGTTCCATCACCTATAGATGCTGTGCCAGAACCAACAGAAGATACACCATCACCGCTGGGAGCTGCCCCATCTTCTACAGATCCTATATCAGTCCCTGTAGAAGCTACAACAATCCGTATAGAAGCCTCACATACATCTACTGACGCCACCCCACCTTACCTCCCAACTCTATCGTCTTCAAGACAAGCTGGACAGAGCACTAGAGCTGCCAGGCTGTCCCCTAGAGAATCTACACACTACCCCAAAGACGCTACGCTTTTTGAAAGAAAACCTACGCCATCCCTTAAACCTAGTAATCCTACACCTACTGGTGGGTCAGCGCTAATTCATGGAGCAGCAGAAACTGTTTCGTCAGTTAACAGTACGGGTGGGTTACCAATCAAATATTCGTCTCAAAAATTAAACAACCAAGAGAATAAATCTATTTATAAAAGCAGAAGTGAACAAAAAAATAATTTTAAAAGCACAATAAATGAAACAGCACTTTTAGGTTCTCAACATAGTAAGAGTTCAGTCCATGCTCAAAATACGAGCCTATCAAGTTGCGCTCAATTAAAGCTAATTATCCCATCAGGTTCTGAAGAACCAAATCAAAGCATTACGTTGTGTAATAAAAATAGCAATTGCAATACATCTGCTGCTGCTAAACCTAGAGGACATACGAAAGACAGTGTTGTGAGAAATGCAGTGACCTATGCATACATTGTAGCCCACGAGAATTCTGCAGAAAGTAACAGAAATAATGTACAGCCTAATCAATCTTTTAGTGATGCCAACATTTCTGTAACTAGTGAGAACAAACTTGAGAATGTCAACAATAAATTTTCCGTCGGAAAAGGGTAGGTAATACGTGAAAACAAAAAGCTAATACTATTTATCGGTGGTCTATATAGATATACACACTTACATGTATATATATATATATATATATATATATATATATATATATATATATATATATATATATATATATATATATATATATATATATATATATATATATATATATATATATATATATATATATATATATATATATATATATGTATGTATATATATATGTTTGCAAATATATTCATATGTAAATACTCAAGCATGTATATAATATATATATATATATATATATATATATATATATATATATATATATATATATATATATACATACATTCAGACAAGAAGCAGGTTTAGAGAATATCCGCCTTGAAGAAAATGTCATTATTTGTGAAGAATCTAAGGCAACAGATTTCTATAACTGGTATATCCAGTTATTTATATTTTATAATTGTTTGTTGATTACTCTATAAATTATGGTTAAAAGTTAAAAGTAAATTTAAGTTTGATACTAAACTTGTTAGACATACATGTATATATATATATATATATATATATATATATATATATATATATATATATATATATATATATATATATATATATATATATATAAATATATATATATAATAAATGGGCCCTAAATATATACATATAAATATAATATATATACATAAGTATATGTTATATATATTTATATACATATACATATACATATATCTATATAAAAACTGTGCTATTGTATTTATTTTAAAATATAATAATCGGAATATCTTTAAGTGACTTTCCTGATTGTAAAATTGATCTTCGTGGAATGAGAGTGGACTATGCTATGTTTTACCTGTACAGTTTCCTGACATCCAAGTATGAAGGTATCTATAACAATTACTTTTTTTTTAATTTAGTGCATATTTTTACGTTTACCAAGTTACATAAACGTATATTCTAACAGCTTGCATTTCAAGCCAATTCGACATCAAACTGAGGTATGTGTACATAATCACTGGGTACAGGGGACGAAATGGAACGTCAATCATTAAAGCTAAGGTCAACCAACATCTGATACGCATCGGATATAAAAAGAGGTTTGTGTTAGTTTTATTACCTACACAACTAGAAAAACACATCCATTAACAGAATTGAGTTTGTTATGGTAAAATAGTCAGTTAATTTCATTTATGTATTCAAATTTAGTCTCTTGTGGAATGGTCCCGGGCAAGTTCGCGTGGACTTAAGCCAGAAGGGCGAAGTAGAGGAAGACGAAATCTCCGACGGTGATGAAAAGAATAAGCCTCGTTTCCATACTAAGCGAGCCATAACTGAACCAAAGGTGTTGGATAGCTGGTTGGTTTCTACTACTGATATTTATTAATTTTATACAATAGATCATTATTTAATTCAAAATGCAGATAGTTTTTTTTTAAGTCATGATCATTATGGATTCAATAAAATAGATTAATATACAACTGTAATTATTTTTTCTACTTTATGTTGTATTTAATATTTTTTTTATCTTTAGCGCCTACAGAACTCTGGATTTGAGAGATAAAACTTTACAAGCAGCACGAACTAGTCTAATACATTGTATTCAAGGTTGTAATCTGATTGTATCAATATATGATTTGTAACTATTGCCCGAATTTAGTGTTGTAAAATATTATTTTTATTTTTTTTCAGTTGTTCAGTTATATAAATAAACTAATTAAAAATTAATTATAAAAATTGTTAAATGGGTACTAAACTTTTTAATTTAAAATTCAATCTTTTTGTTTGAGAATTTAACGCCATTTGTTTTTTCTATTTGAACAGCAGTGCCAGGAAATGATGGTCCTTTTTTGAAGATTTTTCTTGATCCGAAAAAGACGAAAGAAAACCTGTACGAAATGGTCGAAAATTACCTAAACAGTTCTGGATTTACAGGAAAGTAATAACCGCATATTCACATTTCTTAAAATACAGGCTAAACATTTAAAATATTAAGAACTATGTATTGAAGATTAACCAAACAAATTAATGGTGTACAATTGTCTCGTTTTATATTTTAAACACTGCCACTACAAGGTATTGCCTAATTCAACAAAAGAGTACAGAAAAAGATGTAATCAGACAGACTTCTGAACCAGTCAAACAAAAATGTAGGAAGAAGTCACGAAAAAATCAACCCTTACCAAACAACGGAGAATATTTCAAGTATGCTTTTCATTGAAATAAAATCAAAACATATTGAAGAAACCACGATGAATATATAAATAAAAATATCTTTAAACGTAGATATATTTCTTGCATTAAGATCACGCCAAACTGAATTATTTTCATCGTTTGCTAGGGAACCTAAGGAGAAAACTATTGACGTCAGAGGAATGGAAGTGACTGAAAGTATAGAAGCTGCTGTTGATTTTATATTTGAAATGTATGATTGTGAGTATCAATGGCAAGTGTTATTTAATTAGCTTGTATATTTTTACTTTCTCGTATACACGAAGTATAGAGAAAGTATTGTAATCGTGCAAAAAAAAATCGAGAGTTTTACAAATCTCGACGTTTTACACCTCACTAATACGGAAAAACATAATTTTGCAATCTTGTCCGTATGTCTGTGTGTCTGTCTGTGTGTCTGTGTGTCTGTGTATGTGTGTCTGTGTGTGTCTGTTTGTGTGTGTGTAAACACGATAACTAAAGTACCGTTACAGCTAGGTTGATGAAATTTCATATATAAGTATTTTATCAAAATCGTAGATCCGTATCAAATTTTGAGCGATTTCCGAAAACCGGAAGTGGTACTTTTTCTACTTTGAATTTTTCAAAAGCCTATAACTTGAGTACTATTTAAGATAGATAAATGAAATTTCAAATGTAAGTTAAAGATCTAAATCTCTGCCTGCTGTCAAATTTTGAGTAATTTCCGTTGACCGGAAGTACTAATTTACGCTATTTCTGATTTCTCAAAAAAACGCATGTAAATTTATAAAGTAGTTATAATATTGCGCACTATTATGCACATTTTGTTTTGTCTTTCGCTTGGTGCGCAATTCTTTTTTCTATGAGATTCCATTTTATTTTTAAAAGTTTAAGTAATTAAAAATCATGTCTATATTCCAAGTTATATAAGAATATTCGAGAAAGTTTAGGGGAGGTCACTCCCGGTTTATTTGTTTTACACGATTATATTCGTTTTAATATCCTTACGAGTGTTTATGGATTGTTGGTCTATTAATTGAAGCCACATGTTTTTCAACTGTATGCGGATCTAATATCATCATAATTTGAATCTGATTTATATATATATATATATATATATATATATATATATATATATATATATATATATATATATATATATATATATATATATATATATATATATATATATATATTCACATTCTGTTAAGAAATAAATCATGTGAGCCGGTGTTCACAAATGTCGTGATAAAATCGCTAAGTGGATGGACA